CCCGAGTCCCCGGTTCCTGGGGGGTCCCCGCTGCCCTGTCCCCTGTTTGGGCTCTGTCTCCCCGGTCCCTTTCATCCCCGGACTTGGGCTCTGCTCCCCGGGGTCCGTGTGAGTCCCCACTTGGTCCCCGCTGCCCTGTGCCCGCGGGGGTGGGATCTGCAGCTCAGGGACCCCGTTGGTCTGGGACACACAGAGCCTCTCCCCGGGGTCCCCATCAGTCCCCGGGGAACCCGTCAGTCCCCACGGAGTGCCCGGTGCCCTGGCCGAGGGTGCAGGCGCTGGGAGCGGTGCCGCCTCCTCCAGGTCTTCAAGAACCCCAAGTTCAACATGCTGACCATCCGCGACGACATCACCCTGCTCAAACTGGCCACCCCGGCACGCATGTCAGCCCGCGTGTCCCCCGTCTGCCTGCCCCAGCCCACCGACGACTTCCCGGGTGGCATGACCTGTGTCACCACTGGCTGGGGGCTCACTGACCCTAACGGTACCTTCCTGTCCTCCTGCCCGTCCCCTTCCTCATCCCTGTCCTCATCCTCATCCCCAGCCCTGTCCTCAGCCCCATCCCTGACTTATCCCCATCTCCAGTATCCACCCCTGGCCGCACTCCCATCCCCATCCTCGTCCTCATCCTTATCCCCAGCCCTGTCCTCATCTCCATCCCAAACCTCATGCCCGTCCCTATCCTCATCCCCATCTCCAATGCCCACCCCTGGCCTCACCCCCATCCCCATCCCCATCCCTGTCCTCATCCCCATCCCAAACCTCATCCTCATCGCCAGTATCCACCCCTGGCCTCCCTCCCATCCCCATCTCCATTTTTGTCCTCATCCTCATCCTCGTGCCCATCGCAATCCTCATCCCCATCTCCAATACCCACCTCTGGACTCCCCCCATCCTATCCCCATCCCCGTCCCCATCCTATCCTCATGCCCATCCTCGTCCCCAACTCCATCCCCATCTCCATCCCCATCCCCACCTCCGTCCTCATCTCCAGCCCCATCCCTGTCCCCATCTCTATCCCCATCCCCATCCCCATCCCAACCCTCCATCCCCACACCCCTTC